TCATCACCATAAGGCATTAGTCATCAAATTCCTCTCCCATTTGGCCATCAACTAAGTGAGACATGGCCACACGTGAGTTACACGCAACCTTCCATCTAATAATTACCCATGGTCATCATTTTAATCTTGGTAATTTAGACTCAAAGTCTACCCAGCTATATCACTCTATTTTCCATTCTCAGAAGCAGATTCTTCTTTCGGTTCTATTTTTCACGAGTTAGAAGGTGGTTAGGGCATTCGATTGTTCAAGATTTTATTTAAGAGGTAAATGAAAACTCTAAATGTGAAGTTAGTTCAATCTACTAAACACTTTTAAGCTTGGTTGGTTGAGATATGCCATTTTGATGTGCTATGATATTGTGGATATGGCGATTGTTGGATTCGTTTTGCTAGTTTTGTACATGTTTAAAGTGTGATTGGCTTTCTTAAAGTGTTATATATTTGGTAAGTGAAAATGATAAATCTGAACTTGAGTAGATTTACTCTTGAAATTGAGTAGATTTTACTTTTTGAATCTGGATATATTTCATTTTGAACACGAGTAGATTTCACTCTCTAAATATGAATATATTTACTTATGAACCCGAGTAGATTTTACTTTTTGAATCTGAAGATACTTACTTCTGAGCCTGAGTAGATTTTACTTTCTGAATCTGAATATACTTACTTCTGAACCCGAATAGATTTTACTTTCTAAATTTGAACATACTTACTTTTGAATCCAAGTGGATTTTACTTTCTAAATCTGAATATACTTACTTTTGACCCTGAGTAGATTTTACTTTCTAAATCTGAATATATTTATATTATGAACCCAAGTATATTTAATTTCTGAATCTGAAGGTATTCACTTATCTTATGAGTATATCATTTATTGAGTACAACCCCATGTTTCTTTATGTGATTGAGTGACTAATGTACTTCATTATGTTGATAAATGTGTGACCAAATAAGAAGGAAAGAAGTGTATATGTATGGAAGTGCATGTAATTGATTGTTTATCATTATTTGCATGAGAAATAACAGATTATTGTCATGAATATGGCGATTGTTATGAATTGCATGCTAATGATTTGATTAAGACCTTTACCATGGCTTATTTGCCACCGAGTGAATTCTCTTGTATGAGTATGTGGATAAGACTCTGGAGTTAGCTATATGTTCTATCATTTATAACGGTTCTCTACAAGATTGAGATGACATGAAATCATATTATGACATGACTCACGTAGTCATGGAATGACTTGGCTTTTGTAGCCAAGGTATGGCATGGTTTTTATAACCATGGTATGACATGACTTTTATAGTCGTGGTATGGTGCTAAGAAAAAGTCATTATCATGCGGATGTACACTGGTGTATTTATCCTCGCTAATGTAAATGACACCTGTAATGAATGGGCTAAGGCATGGCAAAGGCTATGAATGATTCCGTCCCTCATGAATTGGTGGTGACGATACCTCATTAGTCGAGATGCCTTGTGAATTTATATGGCCCTAGCTAAAGACAAATATGATTTCACATGTATGTATTGGTAATTTATTATGTGGCATCTATGCATCATGAAACAATATGTCATTTGTTTGCATTTGAGTGAATAATTTTATGAAATGTTATTGATTTTGTGATGCAGTTGTTGTTTGTTGACACCGGGTTAAGTGGTAAGATGATTCTTCTAACTTAAAACTAGAGATTTCGTTTGCTAGGTTTCGACTTATTCCTTTATTTTTCAGTTTGTAGGATGATCCCCCGAACATGACAATGAAGGGGACATGATGATGTCTGAAGCCATCAACTCCTGAATTGGATGATGGTTCGCTTTTAGGTTAATATGAGAGTAGTGGTGGGAGTTGACCCGACCTTCTTCCTAGGACTTTGTTGTTTTATATTTTGCTTGGATGATGTAGTAAAATTGTAAAACTGATATTTAATATAAATAAAGATAATATCCATGTTTAACTCGTGCGATTTTCTTGTACAAGATTTTGTTGGAGAAATTTTATTGAGCTTTTGCATGCGTTATTATATTTATGAATTATAAGCGGTAATTACACATGTCGCACGTAACGTTCTGGGGCATCACACTGGATATATCCATTTCCTAACTATAATCATATAATCACTTACTGAGTATACCGCTTGCCTGAGCATATATACTTGTTTGAGTATACTTACTTATTGAGTATATTCACTTGCCGAATATTACCTACTACTGCTCATATTCATCTTTATCATCACCACTTGCTACTTATATCCACTTTTGAGTATGACCACATGTTTCTCAAGTGGTGGTTTGACTAATAGATTTCATTGTGTTATGAATGTGTGATGAAATAAGAAGGAAGATACATGTGTTGAAATACATGTTATTATTTATTATTATGACTTGCATGAGAATAATATGTTTCCGCTAGCTATACATATTAATGGTGACGATACCCCGTGTGTTTGGATGCCTCGAGAGTTGAGATACCCCGTACGTCAGGATGCCCTGGGAGTGTTCGGGAGGAGAATTAACAAACCTAATGCATGTGTATGTGCATATATAAATGCATATAAGCACTCATGCCATTGAATGAACTAATTGGTGGTTACCATGCATCAAAATATGTTTTGCCATATGATGCAATGTTGTTATTATATTACTTTAGCGTATCAAAATAGGAAAGGTAAAACATTTATTCATGCACTTGGCATACATGCTAGTTTGTTATGCATTCATGTTATTTTGTACTGAGTTGAGTGGTAAGGTGATCCTCTAACTTAAACCTACAGATTTCATTTACGGAACTTCGACTCACTCCTTTATTTTTCAGATGTGTAGGATGGATCATCCACCCCCAATGCTTTATGGAGCTCCCATGCATGTTTATGAAAGTGTGCTTATACCTGAATCGGATACTGTATATACTAAATGTTCTTCTCCTGTATGGGTTGACGTGGGGTTCATGGAGTGGATTCCCCATTGGTTTGTTGCTTGGTAGTTGAACCTCGCTTGTGAGTTGGTTGGCCCGTTGAGGGGTTTCGATGGTGACGATAACCTGTTGATGGGCAAGGTCGTCGACCCATAGCGCTGATCTTGACCTTTATATAGGCAGTCCTTTGGGGCATAGGAGTAGTGTTGGAGATAGGTGATCCCGACCTTTTCCAGAACTTTTGTATTTTGTATTTATTTGGATGATATAGTAAATTTGTAAAACTGATGTTTAATATAATTAAAGAGGCATATGTGCATTGACTAAACTCGTTTTTCTTGTAAGGGATGTTTGCATGTTTGATTATGCCTCCACATACTTAAAGAATAATATAAGTAATAATAACAAGAGATACGTGTTGCGCGTGACGTTCTGGGGTGTCACATCTAAGCCCTTGTCTACGGTTGGTGAGGCTTGTTAGTCATTGGTTGAGGCTCGACGACCCTACTGGCCATCCCCATCCTCGCTGACCCTTCTCAGCGATGGTGGGGTGCCAGCGGCGAGGGTTTGGTTTCAAAGCCCCCCTATTTATATATATAGCTTATTTTTAATTAAAATTAAATAAAAATTATATCAAAAAAATAGATTTGAATCGAAATGACGTTATTTTAGCTACATCATTGCTACGTAGGATAGAGAAAATTATAAAAAAAAAGTCGTATTTGCATTTTCCGTCAGCCAAGTTGGACGGAGTTAATGGATGGACTCGATTGGATAAATTTTACAAGTTTTTAGGACTTAATTTCACTTTTTGCAAGGTTTAGGATTCAGTTGCACTTTCGTGTCAAGATATTTAAGACTTTCGGTGCACTTTATCCCAACAAAGTATCTAGCTTTCACACTCATTTTCTATAGTCGATCCATAGCTTGAACAAGCCAACGGCACCGGGACACTCATAAAGAAGTAAAGCATACCAAAGGCATTGGAATCACTATGGATGAGACCGCCCTGTTCAAGATAATTACATATTTACAAGATAACGTCTCAATTCATCCTATTTCATCATATCCGGGATGTGATATAGTTCCGAAGGATGAACGGGATATGGACAATTCCCATGAGATTTCATTCTTGAATCGTTTTTCGTTCAATTCTGCCATGCCAAACGTCCGAAAAGATCCCCTTATCTTGATTCCTTCTATCAGCGGTACTCTCCGCAGTCAGCCCTGAAAAGAAAAAATTAGTGAAGGCAAAGCAGAGAAAAACGCAAACCCTTGGCAAAGCGGTGTGCATCTAAGAACTTCTGAAAATGTTCAAAAGAAATATCTAGTAAAGACGCTACGCCATGTCCACCCATTAACCGGCAAAAGTAGTGAAAATACCCTATTGGCCAGCTAGTGAAAAATGTCTAGTCTGTCGAATATGATACTAAACCACATTTCTGAGGAAGATGATTGGAACAGAAGGAAATGGTAGAGGGGTTCGGCATGGTGCTCCGAGGCTGAAATCAATCTATTACTTTATCTTTTCAATATTAAATGTTAGACGGGGTACATCGCGAATTGTTCTTCCGCATAATTAGGTAAGCCCATGTTTTTTATTCAATGAAGTTAGGGGCAAAATAATGGAGTCAAAGACGATGATATCCAAAAGTAATCGTTTTATTTTAGGTCCCCGTCCTCGATACTCATGCTTACTCACGAACAGCTTAGTGGACTCCTTCCGCGTACTTACTAACATTAGAAATTTCCGTACACCCAAAATTGTATCGGAACTGAATTGGCATCCGATAAGTTTAGGATTGATCGATGTGATATATTTTTTTTTGCACATTTTATAATAATTAAAAACTTAAAAGCTGCCAATAACGAATTTTGGGCTGGCATGATTCGGGCCTGCACTTGCACGTTTGCCTTGGTCAACTTGGCCTTTTCATTCCCATTTTTCGGACATTTGTTTCGCCTCATCAGTCCGTCTCGACGAACATGAGAATTTGTTTAGTTAGGACAGAACAGAACACAACTTCATAAAACTAAAGTAATATCAGAACTTCCAGAATTCTTTCTTATGCAAAACAAGCAAAAATTGCACAAAATTGTCGGCAACAGCGCAATGCTTTCATTATTTCGACAATAGCGAGTCCTATTTTTACCCCTTACAAAAATTCACTCGGGTTAAATCAGCATCCGGTGAAAGTTTCTGGAGCTAAGATCTGTAAATTGTAAATAAATTCTATCTTCTAGAATTCGGAGCATTCTACAGAGTTCTCAAGAGTCAAGAGGCTTACTAAGGCATGGACGTCCAACGAGACACCGAGATAATAATTCAAAATTTCAAATTACAAGAAGTCATTTGGCCTGCCAATTTTGATGTTCTGTTCAGCTAAGAATGCCGTGATCGCATTTTTCTGCCAGCTCTTGAAACTCCTGCAGACAATATTATAAGCAATGGTCAACTCACGGCTTGAATGTTACCAGAGCTTTGCTAGAACTAAGTCTATCGCTTTAATCCTTTCAGGATTTTGGTGTATAGGTCAATGCTTTTAAAATAGCCTGATGCTCTGTGCCCCCTAGCTATATCGCTTAATCTGCGCACATTAGGAAGCTGAAAAATAGGCTGTTTGAACTTTGACTTGTATGTCTGTTTGGATGACTTACTTATGATCAAGGTGCGCCATAATGTCGCCACCGGGGAAAGCCGACTTTGTAGTCTTGAATGCCACTTCGATCGCTTGCTTCCAGGCAGCCCCGATAACTGCCCTATTAGCTTCTGCTTTTGACTGGCTAGGATCTTCCATGGGTAAGCAATATCCGGAAAGCAGGTGCCCAACCCACACATCATCTTTCCTGAAATTATCGTGAAAATGCTATGTAACTTCGAGCACCTAATAAACTTGATGTTCCAACTTGAAAAGGTCGTTATGTTTCTTCTGTCTATAACTCTAATCAGAACAGGTAGCATATTCATGGATATCAACCACACGAAAAGACATGAGATTGTAGCATTAAGGAGGATTAAAAAGTTAAAAGACGTCTTACTGGACAATGTCCATATGCCGAGGCGCGTAATGTCCGCCACCTATCCCAAGCAAGACTTTTTTCTTAGCAACATCCCTGAGACAGCATCAGAGGCAAATATATAATTCCATGGTCCAGAGCAAGAAAGGACTAATATTTACAGTCACGAGCACTTGTGCTGTCTCAGTTTCCTGTACTCAGCATTTCACATCTACGACGAAGGTGAATATCTTTTGTAAAGAAACACAGAAGTTATACTGCTTCCCCAATAGTCTTTGGAAGGGGAAAAAACACATCTACAGAGTGTTGAATTCAGTCACAAAGTCATACAAATAGCCTAGAAATAATATTGCCAAAGAAAGGGTAATTTCTTATAATGTCAGTTAAAGCATGAGTGAATACCTGCTCCAGTTCCCAACTGCAGGCTCTCCTCCAAGCCCAAGACCTTCCCAAACCAACTTCACCGGAACAAGTGATATGTCAGACTAAAGAATTAAAAAAAAAATCTAAAAAAAGGATCAGATTCCAGACTGCCATCTCATCACACGGTATAAAATATATGTCCTTTTCAAACATTTAAAAGAGGTGACCTAGAAGTTTTACAGGAAAGTTATCCTGTGAAAAGAAGTTCATTTTAAGTAAATTAAAGTCCCCATGAACTCAGGAGCCAGTGATATTTTTTTGCTCTGATATTCAGGGGCAAGAAGATCAGTACTTTTACACAACTACAGAAGGAATGAATAATAACACCCCGGATACCCCAGTGTACACTTATTCTTCCTAAAGTTTGAAATGATGTACCGATTGTTTGTCCAGTGCTATTCGATCAACACAGAATTTCGCCTCACCAAGAACTAATTCTGTGAGAGAGTTACGAAAGGAGGGGTTGTCATAGGATTGTTCATACAGATCCGCAGACAATATATCAGTTAGTATAACATCAGTATGATGAAGGCGCTTGTCGTCATGATTTACTCTAGAAAAGAAAAATCCATGTTGCATACAGTCAAACCACTATTGCACCATATCCACCTTGATAACTGCAAATGACATACCGGAATGTGCAAACTAAACACTACAAGAGGCAAATTAAAAGCAGGGACATGCCACTCAAGAGTACTCTATACATAAAAAGCTGTGAACTCAACTTGAGCAACGACTTTAGCAGCATCCAGCCTCTTCCAGTATTCTTCGGTACTCCCTAAATCAAGCACAAAAACACCACTGTGGATCATATCTATTTCTCACAGCTAAGTACACAATCTTATAGGCAACGAAAGAGCGCAGCACACAGACTACAAAGTCCACATTCTAAGCTAAACTCGACCATAAGATTCAATGAGCATTTGCAAGGCAATCTACAAAAAGAATTAGTTAAAGGAAAGCAGAAAGAACATACATACTGTCAAGTAATTACAGCTATTTGTACCCCAAAAAAGAAAGGAGCTATTTGCCGTAAGCTTGGTTGCTTGATATGACGTGGAAATCAAATGGATAGTGTTGTCATATGGAATAGGACAGTTCAGAGAAACTAGACTTCCGAAAACACAATCAGATCATCTTTTAGGGGAGGGGCAACTCTACAATGATATAGCAGTCATATGAACGACAAGCTTTTGCACATTAGATACTTTCGCACTATTAAACTTAATTCATTATGGAATGGGATGGTACAAAAAGATTTCATTTTACTTAAATCTCAGTAACTTTGACAGAGAAGGTTTTATACATGATGGCAAGTCATTAATTGACAGATGACCAAAGGCAAATACATGAAAAGTGTAGACGGTGAAAGTACAACCGTCTTCAGTTAACAGGACATAACCAGTGTTCATCACGTGGAAATTGAAATATGAGAAAAATGCTGTTCTTTCCATATTCGAGGAACTCAATCGAATCATTCCCATAGGCTTCCAATGTGGATTGAAATAACACTAAAGCAAATAATCAGCAACAGGGACAACGATGATCTAGTTTGAACGATACAATCGGAGAATGAAATAAAAAGAGAGTTGGATATACCAATCTCCACAAACATTGCCTGCTTGTCGGTCACCGGTCCATGATGAGTGCCCTCCAAGGTAATCTACTCATAATCCATGAAAACAAACAAACATCAATAACCATATCCAGAACCATCTCTTACAATGCAATGACATGCCACGAAATAGACCCAACATATTGCCGAACAAGACATCATAAAGGGACCCCTAGAAACAAGAACGCACCTCAAACTCAGGAACCAAATTATAGGACTGAGCAATCTTCTTCAACAATCTCAGCCAGGGCCCTATTCTCGGATTCGGTGGTGCGGCCCACCCTGGCTTCCCTCCTTGCGGTGGAACTTCGCCTTCACGCAAATGAGGTACACCTACAACGACGACAACAACACACGCGCACAGCAAGAGAGGTCAAAATCACAAAACTCTCTCCCAAATGCAAAAAATTAACGTCCGCAGACTGCGATACTCGAAAACGAAGAGCAGAACAAAATTACCAATTGGGTGGACAGTGAGAGCCGGGCGATTGGAGACGGCAGTGTGCTTGCTGAAGAAGATGATCTCGTCCACCACTTCGCCGGTGGCTTCTTCCCAACGCACGTCGAGATGATCTTCTTCCACGATGCCTTTGTCCTGTTGCAGCAGCCTCACCTGTTGATTGGCGAAACTTTTTATACCCTTCAAAACCCATTTCACAGAACATCAGAACATCGGCCCAAGAAGCAGAAAAAAACCACTCAGATCAAACGCTGCTGTTCAACACGATATCAATGGAGGCGTGGATGACCTGAAGGGAGGGACCAGGGGTCCAGCCGGGCATGGCCAAGAGGGCATTGGCGGGATTGATGGACGCAGGGTCGGTGGTAGTGGCCACCAAAAGGATCACCATTTCTCTCGCTCTTTCCTTCTTCCTCCTCCTCCTTCTTTATTGCCTGCGCTGCGCTCTACGAAATCGATCTCTGCAAGTGCAACTAAAATCAACAAAGCATGGGAATTTCGTCAAGCATGTGATCCGCACGAATGTTGTGGGCAGCTTCATTTCCTGTGGGCGAACGTAGCTTGGCTTCTCCTTCCTTTTTTGAGCCGCCACATGGGAGGCGGCAAAGGAGGGTTCGAACTCGTCCATCGCTCTTAATAAGGGTGCGAAAGATAAGCATTCACTTTTCAAGCCCAATTTCTTAATAAGGGTGCGAAAAATAAACATTCACTTTTCGAGCCTAATTTCTAATCAGAAGTAAAATTTTCTATTTCTATTCCCTAAATGAGTTTTCGAATAAAAAATAACATTTAATAACGACACAAAATTTTGATTCCCTAAATAGAAATTCGTTTGATAGCGTCGATGTAGAATTTGTACATCGAGGGACGGCGGACGGTGGGCGGGCAGCGGCGGCAGGCGCGGGTGGCGAGGGCGAGCTCTAAGAAGACTTGTTATTTTTATTTTTGTTCTAAAAATAAAAAAAGTAAATTTTTTTTACTTTCTCATTTCTGTTCCAAACTTATTCTTGGCTAAAAATTTGTTGTGGGAATGGAAAAATAAAATTGTGTTACCAAACGGATTTCTATTTCAAACTTGTGAATAGAAAAATCGAAAAACAGAGAAACATAATGATTATCATTCACGCCCTAAACTATTTTCTTAGTCGTTGCTAGACCTGTTGTCAGGTCGAGTTGAGTCGAGTTGAAAATGATTCAATCCAAATTGCTTAATTTTGATGCAATACGAATTTAGTGACTCATATTTGACCCAACTTATATCCAACCAAATCTCGACGCGACCTACATTGCTAGAATACTTTTATATTTAACAGAATCTAGAAAAACTCATACTCAAACTGTGGTAAAAGTGTGGAGTGAGCGAGCACAAAATCGAGTGAGGGCGACAAAATGGAGAGAGAGTCATTAAGTCATGAACCCATTTAACATATTATTTTAGATTTTACCATTTTAAATCCATTCACTTTGATGAAGCAATTTTGAGAAACTTTATACGTATAAGAAAATAATTTATAAAATTAGTGTATTGCGTGACACGAGGAATTATTAATATATGTTGTATACGACTCTCTTATTCAATTGTCCACTTCTAATTTTATCGTTGAATGCATCAATTTTTATGAAAATAATTTTACTATATATCCCTAGTATTGCTTACAGTTTTGATATATTCTCCTTCTTATAAATAGAATTGCACGCATATACTTACGTGTTCGAAGAAATGAAAAAAAAAATTATGAAGGAAACAAAAGTATGATTGACATTTAGTTTATAATAAAAGTTTACGTTGTTGTAAAATGGTGAAGATTTAAGAAATAAATATTTAATATGTCATTTGTAAATTATCCTTTTGTCAATTATTTTGTAATAAATTACTGTTATTCGTCTATGCAGATCTAGACTATATCAACATTTTTTGACAGGAGTATGAGGTTGAAGATTGTTTTTGGTTTATGGTTAATACCACAAAAAACCTCAAACTGATATATCTGTAACAAATTTATTCCAAATTAATTTTTTGACCACCAAAAATCGCAAACTGGTAAACATGTGACAAATTTATTCCAAACTAATTTTTTGACAACAAAAACCTCCAAATTGGTACATTTGTGATAAATTTACGCTCCGTTAAATTTGATTAATACAAAAAAAATCACAAACTAGTATATTTGTGACAAATGGAGGTTAAAACCCCAAACTGGTACATTCGTCCATTGCCACGTGTCATTTAACTCAGCAATTTGAAGGTAAAATTTAACGGAAACTAACGAAGAGTAAATTTATCACAAGTATACCAGTTTGGGGTTTTTGATGGTAAAAAACTTAGTTTAGGGTAAATTTGTCACATGTGTATCAGTTTTGGGTTTTTCGTAGTATTAACCCTATGGTGTATTTTATCTATATAGATAGAAATAGATGTGTACATGGATGATTGTCAAAAGAAAAAAGAACCACCAAATTAGTCCTAACCTTAAAGAAGCGATATATGGATCTTATAATAACACCTAAATTATTGTTTTCCCGAACAACTATTTCATGAGTAAATAATTTAATTAATATACAAATTAACTAAAGCGATAGCATGTTTCAAAATATCGTAGACTCTATGAAGCTTTTTTTTTTTCTCTCTCTCTCTTCCTCTATCGCTCATTCTCGCTCTGTTTTCACTTGCTTTGGCTTGAAAGCAGAGTCCAGTAACTTCAACGACGCTCCTCCTCCGTCAACCATTGTCGCTCTCTCTTCCCTGTCCTTGCCCTTCCTATGAGAGCCCATAATCCATTGGTGGACGAAATAAAGAAATTGGGATGGTGACTCCTAAGAGAGAATGTGTACGAAAATCTCTTTTTGAGTTAGGGTTCTTCACCAACGAATGCCCCTCTACTTTTCCCTCTCCCTCACTTGGTCTAAGAACCCCAATTTTGGGCTGGAAGCAGAGTTAGGGCTCTTCACCTACTTCGTCAACTTGGACAGAATTTTTCCCAAATTTTCTTAAATTGAATGAGGGTTCTTCAAATAAATCAATTAACGATGTTGTTTAACTTCTCATTTGCTGATTTCATCTTGCCAGCAAGTCACGTTGGACGTTTTATAATAAAATAATGCTAGTCAAATTTTCTAGCGAGACAAATCGCCGATGATACTCAAGTGAACGATTTTTTTAAAATGTGGCGCTCACGCTAGTGAAAAAAAAGTTATGGCACTTAAGTGAGTGCTGTACAAAAGTTATGGTACTTGTAGTGTGCTTATTCCAAAAAAGAAAAGAAAAGAACAAACTATAAAATTTATAAAATTTCTCAAAATGACGTCGTTTTGAGTAAAGTTGTGCATGTGAGATCGCTAGTCATGCCACGTACGATGGCTGGCAATAATTGGACGCCATGTTAGCGATTTTTGATGAAAATTAACAAGAAAAATTACATTAAAATTTCACGCAAAAGTTTAAGATGGTAAAATTGAAAAGTTTAGTACCGAATTGATACCCGTATAATAAATAGAGGATTGATTGGGTAATTTTTCCTAATTTAGTGATAGCGTATATGCAATAATCACACGACGGGAGATGAATCTACTTCGCAATTATTAATACAATGGTGAAATCTTAAGTGAGATTAAGTGACGCTCAATTGATGTGAAAGGAAATGACACTATGGCAATCAAAACAACGGAAGACCCAACATTTATTTGTGATGGTCTAGCTTAGAACTTGCTTAGTGTGGGCCACATGATATAAAAGGGGCTTTTTGGAAAAAAGAAGTGTTATAACTTTCGTACAATACTCACTTTGGTGCCAAAACTCTTCCCCATATCATTTAAGTGTCAAATCGCAGAAAAAAGAATAACTTAAGTGCCTCCGGCGACAAATTCCAGCCAAAAATCCAACGTGACTTTTTTTTAATAAAATTTTAAATCCTACATGGCTTTCTTTAAAAAAAAAAATCAATGTCCAACGTAGACAAAATACAAGAAGACCAAATAAATGATTTTTTTTGGTCGAAAAATAAACGATTGATTAACTCACCCAATTTGTCTTCCCTCCTCCCTCGCCTTCTTCTTTTTCATTTACTAAAGATCTGGAAATATCATCACGCTTTTGTCACGGGCTGACAGTTCCTTGACCGCGGAATAGTCCGTGCGATGCCTGGCGAATCATTCACAGCAAGCTAGTCCTCGTTTATTAGCTGTTCCAGAGAACAATACGGCGAATAGCTTCCTTATTTCGAATCGTACCACGCCTAGCATAACTTGGGCATCTAGTACATCAAGTGAGACATATAGATATATTTAGGTATGACAACTTGTTTCGATCTGTCATGACCTCATAAGGAGAGCGGCATCAGCTCCCGACCAGTTTGTGCACGGGAGGCCAACCCCGCCTTCAGAGCCCCTAAGATATATTCGTTCCATCCTAGAACTCCTAGCACATACTGTCTTAATACCACTCCCACGACCCAGTTGCATCTCATCCCTTTTGCGTCCTCACTCCTCACCCGATAACCCCGAGCATCACTCACAATAGTACATGAATACGAGAGAATCACGGTCCGTGACATTCTCCCCTAATCAATTCTGCAACGCCCTCATTGCAGGCTATTTGTCACTTCCCTACGTTAATTCTTACTATCAATGCTGCTTCCTTTTTGGGATTTACATGAGTGGTGGACGCTCGGCCAACAAAACAACTTTTCTCCACTAGTGGCTTTCTCGATTAGAGTCGTTCGGCACCCTCGGTCACTTGTGCTTTCCTTGACAAGTGTGACATTTTTCATCAGCTGCACCATTTTGGCAGCACCATTCTATGTCTACTTTGGAATTCTCATGATCTCGGCAGACTAATGAAGATTTTTCTCCTTGTTGATAACGTGGTAGTATATCCTTCTCGAGCCTTGCCAAATTGATCCAGGAACGTGTTCCCTATTCAGTGAGGAATCAGTTCTTTCCTGTGCCCCTATTGTCATCCTAGAAGCAAGCTAAGAGCTGCACTTTGTCCGAGCATCTTTTGGCTCCGGCGATTCACTCTCCGCCCTCATAGGACCAGGTAGACTAGAAGTTTTCTTTGACTCACTCACCTACTGGAGGGATTGTGCTCTGATACCATATTGTCACGGGTCGATAGTTTGGGAACGACTCGTGCGGCGACTTAGGCTTCCTTGGATCGTTGGAACACCTAGGCCAAGTCTTTTCTCAATCGCTCACTTGCTCACCTGGTCCATAGAGAGAGAATCTAGAAAGAGAAACTCTAGGAGAGAATGAAATTGCTTCTATTGCTTGGATGATCAAAATGAGAAGGAGGACACCCCTTTATATAGTAAAGAGCCTCTAATTACAATTGTTGATGGACTTTCGGACGGGTGGCCGAGATCGCACCTTCCCGTCCACCAACCACTGGTTTTTATGCTAAGAACTCTCTAGAATACGGCACAATTACCATATTGCTCGTCCCTTGGAATGTTTCGGAAGCTCTATTAAGATTTGGACAAACTTTTGTCGATGTTGCACGGGCTTTGGCACTTGGGAGCCTCTCGACCATGAATCATCGGCACCATGGACGGGCACTCTGGGTCGGTGATGATAAGCATCTTGGTCTTCAAATCTACCACGGTTCTCGCAGCATCGAAGAAT